AGAAACATACACACCACCGAGAGAAACATACACACACCGAGAGAAACATACACACCACCGAGAGAAACATACACACCACCGAGAGAAAACATACACACATCCGAGAGAAACATACACACCACCGAAGAAACATACACACCACCGAGAGAAACATACACACCACCGAGAGAAACATACACACCACCGAGAGAAACATACACACCACCCCAGAGAAACATACACACATCCGAGAGAAACATACACACCACCGAGAGAAACATACACACCACCGAGAGAAACATACACCACCACCGAGAGAAACATACACACCACCGAAGAAACATACACACATCCGAGAGAAACATACACACCACCGAGAGAAACATACACACCACCGAGAGAAACATACACACCACCGAGAGAAACATACACACCACCGAGAGAAACATACACACCACCGAGAGAAACATACACACCACCGAGAGAAACATACACACCACCGAGAGAAACATACACAAACCCCCGAGAGAAACATACACACATCCGAGAGAAACATACACACCACCCGAGAGAAACATACACACCACCGAGAGAAACATACACACCACCGAAGAAAACATACACACCACCGAGAGAAACATACACACCACCGAGAGAAACATACACACCACCGAGAGAAAAAATACACACCACCGAGAGAAACATACACACATCCGAGAGAAACATACACACCACCGAGGGGAAACATACACACCACCGAGAGAAACATACACACCACCGAGAGAAACATTTCACACCACCGAGAGAAACTACACACCACCGAGAGAAACATACACACCACCGAGAGAAACATACACACCACCAGAGAAAACATACACACCACCGAGAGAAACCATACACACCACCGAGAGAAACATACACACCACCGAGAGAAACATACACACCACCGAGAGAAACATACACACCACCGAGAGAAACATACACACATCCGAGAGAAACATACACACCACCGAGAGAAACATACACACCACCGAGAGAAACATACACACCTCCGAGAGAAAAATACACACCACCGAGAGAAACATACACCCACCGAGAGAAACATACACACCACCGAAAAACATACACACCACCGAGAGAAACATACACACCACCGAGAGAAACATACACACCACCGAGAGAAACATACACACCCCCGAGAGAAACATACACACCTCCGAAGAAACATACACACCACCGAGAGAAACATACACACCACCGAGAGAAACATACACACCACCGAAGAAACATACACACCACCGAGAGAAAATACACACCACCGAGAGAAACATACACACCACCGAGAGAAACATACACACCACCGAGAGAAACATACACACATCCGAGAGAAACATACACACCACCGAGAGAAACATAAAACACCACCGAGAGAAACATACACAAAATCCCAGAGAAACATACACACCACCGAAGAAACATACACACACACCGAGAAAACATACACACCACCGAGAGAAACATACCACCACCCAGAGAAACATACACACCACCGGAAAAACATACACACATCCGAGAGAAACATCACCCCACCGAGAGAAACATACACACCACCGAGAGAAACATACACACCACCGAGAGAAACATACACACCACCAAGAGAAACATAGACACATCCGAGAGAAAATACACACCACCGAGAGAAACATACACACCACCGAGAGAAACATACACACCACCGAGAGAAACATACACACCACCGAGAGAAACATACACACCACAGAGAGAAACATACACTACTCAGGGAAACACAAACACTACTCAGGGAAACACAAACACTACTCAGGGGAACAAACACCACTCAGGGAAACACAAACACTACTCAGGAAACACAAACACTACCAGGGAAACACAAACACTACTCAGGGAAACACAAACACTATTCAGGGGAACAAACACCACTCAGGGAAACACAAACACTACTCAGGGAAACACAAACACTACTCAGGGGAACAAACACCACTCAGGGAAACACAAACACTACTCAGGGAAACACAAACACTATTCAGGGGAACAAACACCACTCAGGGAAACACAAACACTACTCAGGGAAACACAAACACTACTCAGGGAACACAAACACTACTCAGGGAACAAACACCACTCAGGGAAACAAACACTACTCAGGGAAACACAAACACTACTCAGGGAAACACAACACTATTCAGGGAACAAACACCACTCAGGGAAACACAAACACTACTCAGGGAAACACAAACACTACTCAGGGAAACACAAACACTACTCAGGGAAACACAAACACTATTCAGGGAAACAAACACCACTCAGGAACACAAACACTACTCAGGGAAACACAAACACACTCAGGGGAACAAACACCACTCCAGGAAACACAAACACTACTCAGGAAACACAAACACTATTCAGGGAACAAACACCACTCAGGGAAACACAAACACTACTCAGGGAAACACAAACACTACTCAGGGGAACAAAACACCACTCAGGGAAACAAACACTACTCAGGGAAACACAAACACTACTCAGGGAAACAAACGCCACTCAGAGAAACACAAACACCACTCAGGGAAACAAACACCACTCAGGGAAACAAACACCACTCAGGGAAACACAAACACCACTCAGGGAAACACAAACACCACTCAGGGAAACAAACACACTCAGGGAAACACAAACACTACTCAGGGAAACAAACACCACTCAGGGAAACAACACACCACTCAGGGAAACAAACACCACTCAGGAAGCAAACACCACTCAGGGAAACACAAACACCACTCAGGGAAACAAACACCACTCAGGGAAACAACACCACTCAGGGAAACACAAACACTACTCAGGGAAACAAACAACCACTCAGGGAAACAAACACCACTCAGGGAAAACAAACACACTCAGAGAAACACAAACACCACTCAGAGAAACACAAACACCACTCAGGGAAACACAAACACCACTCAGAGAAACACAAACACCACTCAGAGAAACACAAACACCACTCAGGAAACAAACACCACTCAGGAAACACAAACACACTCAGGGAAAAAACACCACTCAAGGAAACACAACACCACTCTGGGAGACACAAACACCACTCAGGGAAACAAACACCACTCAGGAAACAAATACCACTCAGGAAACAAACACCACTCAGGGAAACACAAACACCACTCAGGGAAACAAACACCACTCAGGGAAACAAACACCACTCAGGGAAACAAACACCACACAGGGAAACACAAACACCACTCAGAGAAACACAAACACCACTCAGGGAAACAAACACCACTCAGGGAGACACAAACACCACTCAGGGAGACACAAACACCACTGAGGGAAACAAACACCACTCAGGGAAACAAATACCACTCAGGAAAACAAACACCACTCAGGGAAACACAAACACCACTCAGGGAAACAAACACCACTCAGGGAAACAAACACCACTCAGAGAAACAAACACCACTCAGGGAGAACAAAACACCACTCAGGGAAACATACACCACCCAGGGAAACACAAACACCACTCAGAGAAGCACAAACACCACTCAGGGAAACAAACACCACTCAGGGAAACAAACACCACTCAGGGAAACAAACACCACTTCAGGGAAACAAACACCACTCAGGGAAAACAAACACCACTCCGGAGACACAAACACCACTCAGGGAAACAAACACCACTCAGGGAAAACAAACACCAACCCAGGGAAACACAAAAACCACTCAGAGAAGCACAAACACCACATCAGGGAAACAAAACACACTCAGGGAGACACAAACACCACTCAGAGAAACAAACACCACTCAGGGAGACACAAACAACCACTCAGAGAAACAAACACCACTCAGGGAGACACAAACACCACTCAGGGAAACAAACACCACTCAGGGAAACAAACACCACTCAGGGAGACACACCACTCAGGGAGACACAAACACCACTCAGAGAAACAAACACCACTCAGGGAGACACAAACACCACTCAGGGAAACAAACACCACACTGCTTCTATTCCTCCCTGCAGACCTCTCCAGCATACAATATACAGCAGCTTACTGAATCACGGGTCAAATGTCACAGTCTTCCCTCAGCTTACAACATTATTCTATTTCGCAATAAATCTCATTTATTTGAACAATTTCTCTAGTTTTGCAATCACGTAATTTTTTTAATTCAGAGGGAACGTAAAACATTATTAAAAAATATTCCAGCGCCATTACTAAAAAACCTGTCGAGCACGGAGCTCCGCCATATTTATTTATTATGGCTTCACGAGAAGAGACGAGTAACAAGAGAGTAATGGTGTGTACATGATAAAGTAGAGAAGAGTCGAGTAACAAGAGAGTAATGGTGTGTACATGATAAAGTAGAGAAGAGTCGAGTAACGAGAGTAATGGTGTGTACATGATAAAGCAGAGAAGAGTCGAGTAACAAGAGAGTAATGGTGTGTACATGATAAGGGAGAAAAGAGACGAGTAACAAGAGAGTAATGGTGTGTACATGATAAGGGAGAGAAGACACGAGTAACAAGACAATAATGGTGTGTACATGATAAGGGAGAGAAGACACGAGTAACAAGACAGTAATGGTGTGTACATGATAAGGGAGAGAAGACACGAGTAACAAAAGGGTAATGGTGTGTACATGATAAGGGAACCTCACCTGGAGCTTTAAAAACTCATCTCACATTATGTAAAACAAAAAATATGTATGAGTAGAGAGTTTACAAATGTAATGGTGAGTATTGGTGAAAAATCCGGTAATAATAATAATAATAATAATAATAATAATAATAATAATAATAATAATAATAACTTCATTTATTTTATTCTTTAGTCACATAACACCTGGTTCGATCGAGGCTCAATCCAGACGCTATTATTGTTATTAGTACCTGTGTGAACCACACTTATTTACATGTATATGTTAAGTGTGTAACAGTGAGAGACTTAGAATTCACCTCTTGTGCCCTCCGTCAGGTACCACTGCAGCAGCTGAGAAGTCTACGGGTAGCGGGTAACCCACTTCACTGCAACTGTTCACTGGTGTGGCTCAAAAAACTCACTGCTGACCCCAACGCCTCCGTCAGCGTGGACCAGCCAGCCTGTGCCAGTCCTCCATCCCTCTACGGTCAGTTCCTGCCCAGCAATCTCCCCAGCCTTCTCTTATCGCAGGAGGACTGAAGAACTCACGATAAATAAGACATTTTGCGGTTAATAACATTTATTATAAAGATAGACTGATAAAAACCCAGGTGGGCGAAACGCCTTCTCAGTAAATGCCATAACACGTGCATTTTCTTACGTGATGTCGATACAAGAATTTATGAATTTGTCTGAGGTGATATTATTGGGCAGCTAGAAATTCTGAAAATGTGTCAGTCCTATTAATTTACAATTAGATAATAAGAGATGATCACTAGATGTTTCACGCATATGTTAAGAGTATAATAATATAAAGCTTCCGTTCTCCTGCTTCCCTTTTTACAGACTCTGACAGCTAATGTGGACCTATCCTGGTCATCTACCTTCTCAAGAATCGAAATACTTCGGAAAGACATGTAGCTCCGAGTTTTTTTTAATTCTTTGAATTCCTAACTAAATTCTAGCCAGTTCATTGACTGATATAACTTCTGAGGACAAATTTCACTAGGAGTCATCAAACTCTTGTATCTACCACTATCCTGCATTTCTGTATATTATACACACACACAGACACACACACACACACACATATACAGACTATTGGAGTATGCAGCACCAGTTTGGAACCCACATCTGGTCAAGCATGTCAAGAAATTGGAGAAAGTGCAAAGGTTTGCAGCAAGACTGGCCCCTGAGCTAAGGGGCATGTCCTTCGAGGAGAGGTTATGGGAAATCGGTCTGATGTCACTGGAGGACAGGGGGAATAGAGGGGACATGATAAAGATATATGAAATACTGCTAGGAATTGACAAGGTGGAGAAAGACAGGATGTTCCAGAGATGGGACACAGCAACAAAGGGTCACAATTGGAAGTTGAAAACTCAGATGAGTCAAAGGGATGTTAGGAAGTATTTCTTTAGCCATAGAGTTGTCAGGAAGTGGAATAGTCTGGAAAGTGACGTAGTGGAGGCAGGATCCATACATAGTTTGAAGATGAGGTATGATAAAGCTCATGGAGCAGGGAGAGAGAGGACCAATGAAGAGGCGGGGCCAGGAACTTTGAATCGACCCCTGCAACCACAATTAGGTGAGTACATTTAGGCGAGTACAGTACTTCTCGCCTCCAGGACTCAAGTCCGGCAAACCGGGTTCCCTGAATCCCTTCATTAATGTTGCACTGCTCACACGTCAACATCACGTAGTCATAAAAACCACTTTCCTCCACTCACTTCTAACACGCTCACACACGCTTATAAATGAAGTGACTAACGTGAGTCTGCAACACACCGTCAATGTTAGATTTAATGTTGACTCCAACAGCGGAAAGAGTGATCAAGTTCCATTGGACATAACATATGCAGTGAAATATGACCTACGAGATGAAAAAGACATTCGTATCAGGAACGCTTAGATTATAAAACTGGAATTACAAGGCTTTAATTAAAACAGCGTTTGAGAGAAATCAAATGAAACTGTATACTGCAAGGAACAGATATATATAATCTGTACAGTGATTCCTGTAGTATATATGAAGATGGAATTAAACAGGTTTTTCCAAATAGGAATATAATAATAATAATAATAATAATAATAATAATAATAATAATAATAATAGTAATAATAATAATAATAATAATAAAGAATGATTTAATGGAAAGTGTTGGAGAACTGTGACAAAAAGAAAAAAAAAGACTTGGAATCAATGTAGGAAGCGAACCAATCACGAAAGTTGCTAGAGATTCAAGGAGGCTAGAAATAAATATGCAAATGTAAGGAGAGAGAAAGAAAAAAATTTTGATGAGGAAAGAGTAGCCAAAAGCAAGACAGATCCAAACATTTAAAATTTATATATAAAAAAAGTAAACTAAATGTTTAAGACAAAATGCAGAGAATAAATGAATACGACGAAGTCAGCGAGATGGAGAAGAAAATGTGTGAAGTATTAGATAGAAAGTTTACAGAATGTTCAAAGAAATGCAAAATGATGCAAGACTGAAACATTAAAGGCACCCATCTTGACTCATATATATATATATATATATATATATATATATATATATATATATATATATATATATATATATATATATATATATATATATATATATATATATATATAGGCAGTAGGTTGGTAGACAGCAACCGCCCAGGGAGGTACTACCGTCCTGCCAAGTGAGTGTAAAACGAAAGCCTGTAATTGTTTTATATGATGGTAGGATTGCTGGTGTCCTTTTTCTGTCTCATGAACATGCAAGATTTCAGGTACATCTTGCTACTTGTACTTACACTTAGGTCACATTACACATACATGTACAAGCACATATATACACACCCTTCTGGGTTTTCTTCTATTTTCTTTCTAGTTCTTATTCTTGTTTATTTCCTTATATCTCCATGGGGAAGTGGAACAGAATTCTTCCTCCGTAAGCCATGCGTGTTGTAAGAGGCGACTAAAATGCCGGGAGCAAGGAGCTAGTAACCTCTTCTCCTGTATATATTACTAAATGTAAAAGGAGAAAATTTCGTTTTTCCTTTTGGGCCACCCCGCCTCGGTGGGACACGGCCGGTGTGTTGAAAGAAAGAAAGAAATATATATATATATATATATATAATATATATATATATATATATATATATATATATATATATATATATATATATATATATATATATATATATATGTCGTGCCGAATAGGCAGAACTTGCGATCTTGGCTTAAATAGCAACGCTCATCTTGCCATATAGGACAAGTGAAAATTTGTGTATGCAATAATTTCGCCAAAACCATTCTGAACCTAACGAAAAATATATATTTGATTGCGTTTGTTTAGTATTAAATTACTGTAAATGTATTTAAAATACATTTAGTTGGGTTAGGCTAAAATAAATTGTTCTTGTTATAATAAGGTTAGGTAAGTTTTCTAAAATTCTTTTGGTGCAAAATTATAAGTTTTTACATCAATATTAATGAAAAAAATATATCTTTAAATGTACAAGAGAAAATTTTAGAAAGGACTTAATTTTAAATGAGTTCTTGCTAATTGACCAGTTTTACATATTCGGCACACACCACACACACACACACACACACACACACAATATATATATATATATATATATATATATATATATATATATATATATATATATATATATATATATATATATATATATATATATATATATATACAAAACAACCACTGTGAGAGAATAGAGAAATTCCAAGCGCTTTCGTGACTACTCCTTGATAATGTGAGTAGTCACGAAAGCGCTTGGAATTTCTCTATTCTTTCACAGTGGTTGTTTTGCATATTCTGAAATCACCTGTTTACTGTGATCTTATTGCATACCTGGAGGTTACCTGGAGGTTATTCCGGGGATCAACGTCCCCGCGGCCCGGTCCATGACCAGGCCTCCCGATGGATCAGGGCCTGATCAACTAGGCTGTTACTGCTGGCTGCACGCAGTCCAACGTACGAGCCACAGCCCGGCTGATCTGGCACTGACTTTAGGTATCTGTCCAGCTCTCTCTTGAAGGCAGCCAGGGGCTTATTGGCAATTCCCCTAACGCTTGATGGGGGGCTGTTGAACAGTTTTGGGCCCCGGACACTTATCGTGTTTTCCCTTAGTGTACCAATGGCGCCCCTACTTTTTATTGGGGCATTGCATCGCCTGCCCAGTCTTTTACTTTCGTAGGGAGTGATTTCTGTGTGCAGATTTGGGACCATTCCTTCCAAGATTTTCCAAGTGTAGATTACGATATATCTCTCATTCCTGCGTTCCAACGAGTACAAGTCAAGTGCTTCCAAGCGTTCCCAGTAGTTAAGGTGCTTGACAGAACTTATACGTGCAGTAAAGGATCTCTGTACACTCTCTAGATCTGCGATTTCACCTGCTTTGAATGGAGATGTTTATGTACAGCAGTATTCCAGCCTAGAGAGAACAAGTGATTTGAAAAGGATCATCATTGGCTTGGCAACTCTCGTTTTGAAAGTTCTCATTATCCATCCTATCATTTTCTTTGCACGTGCGATCGTGGCACTCCTGTGATCCTTGAAAGTGAGATCCTCAGACATTACTACTCCCAGGTCCCTTACATTATTTTTCCGCTCTATTGTATGGCCGGAGTCAGTGGTATACTCTGTTCTAGTTATTATCTCCTCCAGTTTTCCATAACGGAGTAGTTGGAATGTGTCCTCATTGAACATCATATTGTTTACCGTTGCCCACTGGAAAACTTTGTTTATATCTTCTTGGAGGTTAACCGTGTCCTCAGCAGATGACAGCCTCATGCGGATCCTAGTATCATCCGCAAAGGATGATACGGTGCTGTGGTGTATATCTCTGTCTATGTCTGATATGAGAATAAGGAATAAGATGGGGGCGAGTACTGTGCCTTGTGGAACAGAGCTCTTCACTATGGCAGCTTCCGATATAACTCTGTTGACCACTACTCTTTGTGTTCGATTTGTTAGGAAGTTGAAGATCCATCTCCCTACTTTCCCAGTTATTCCTTTAGCACGTATTTTATGGGCTATTACGCCATCATCGCATTTGTCAAATGCTTTTGCAAAGTCTGTGTATATTACATCTGCATTCTGATTTTCTTCCAGTGCATCCAAGGCCATGTCATAGTTATCCAGTAGTTGTGAGAGGCAGGAGCGACCTGCCCTGAACCCATGTTGCCCTGGATTGTGCAGATTTTGGGAATCCAGGTGATTTGCAGTCCTGCTTCTTAGCACTCTTTCAAAGATTTTTATGATGTGGGACGTCAGAGCTATTGGTCTATAGTTCTTAGCTAATGCTTTGCTGCCACCTTTATGGAGTGGGGCTATATCCGTTGTTTTAAGTGACTGTGGAATTTCACCCATGTCCAAGCTCCTCCTCCATAGTGTACTTAGGGCACGTGAGAGGGGTTTCTTGCAGTTCTTAATGAAAACAGAGTTTCACGAGTCTGGGCCCGGGGCTGAGTGCATAGGCATGTTG